ATCCCATGATTCCACCGAACCGTCCCCAAGTTTGTGTTGCTATGGCAAGTGCTCAGGCACTAGGAAGCCACTTACTGTCGGTCGGTTTTAGGAACAAGACTGTTCTCCTCCCTCTTAGACTCTCCAAAGTAAAAAGCCATTTCTGGGAAAAGGAAGACAATTGGGTGCCTGGGTAATGTGTTCCTCTCATCACAATAACCATTATGGCCTCATGCCAAGGGCTACTCCGGGACAGAACATCATCATCACACTAATGGGTCATGCTAAAGACATGGTAAGGACTGGTATGATTGGAATGATCCATCTGGGCCTGGGGGAATACGGTTATCAATGAGTGATGGTCTTTCCCCACACTGGCACAGAGATACTATCACTGGTCATCTCGGTGTGACCTGTGCAAGAAACACAGCTCCACGTTCCAAACCCTAGGCGGTGCCCTGCCTACAAAGTCCACAGAACATGGCTTGGGGACACACAGATGACCAAGCCTGGATGTTTACTCCTTTCTTTGGAACAGGAAAACTAGGAAGATGAAGGCTAATGAGATTCTCTCACATCCAGAGACGCTGGGGCCCTACAACAGCACAGTCACGCATTTGACGGTGTAAACATTCTCTTTCTGACCAGCAAGATCCTTAGTCTTACTCCCACGGGAAAGTCTCGCCATGCCTATAGAATGCTAGGTTTTCCTGAACTGGCATAATCACTCAACACTTGATGGCAACCTATTTTCTAAAAACACAAGCCTCGCTTTCCATGCCTAAATACCGGCTGAAGAAGCTGTGAAAGCCACAGCGACCTCTGGGTGCAACTTCCGATGCATCAGTGACTGGACTCAATTTCAAAGAACATTCTCGAACGCCAAAATAAATCAACGTCCAGTACAGCTCCAAGCCAGCTCATGCAATATAGGTTAAACAGAACCATATGGTAAAGACAGACACATGTTGCCCTCTGCTGAAACAAAGGACAGAAATTCCTAAACAAATTGTCCCTTACCCTTTCACACGGGAGGGGGTGGCGCTGAGGAGAAGGATTTCTGAAGTGCTGAGAATGCTGGGGGCGGGGGGGGGGGGAGGCACTGCCTCACCATTAACAAAATATGAGATTCAACAGGGCACCTCCATTTTTGAGTCTCTCTCTAGGCCTCGAACGCTAACACCATACGGTAACCTCTAAGACAGGGCTCCTAACTAAGGAGGAGGAGGGCAGGCCAGCTGTGTGCAGGAGGCAGCAGCATCAGCAGGTCCCCAGGGTATGAGAGGCAGCGAGAGACAATCTACCTGTTCTGCAGGAATAAAACACCTGCTCAACTGAGCTTGGAAATAAAACAGCAAGACGGTCACCCACCTCTTCCCACGGCGGAGGCGAACCTCCCCCGTTCTGTCGTGGACAGAAATAATCTGGACTGCAGCGACTTCATTAAATTCCTGACTCAAAACAAACTCCCAGAGCAAAATCGTCTACCAGGATGAACACATCCCGGAACACAGAGGCACGTCTGACGAAACTACCTTCTAGATTAATGTTTCTCCCTGTCCTCCAGTTTGGTGTCTTACTCATGACTTAACATATATTTACATGTTTGCCTTCTAAAATTAGCCTTAGTTCTAATTACGCTGCTTAGTAATTTCCAGTACCATTTGGGCTGAGGAGCAAACGCCAGATCTTTCTTCAGAAACTACTTGGAAGGCACGCTGAGAAGGCACAGAATCCCTACTTCTTGACAATCCCAGTGTGTGCACAGGAAAGCATCTCTGCACAGACAAACACCAGAGCTCTCAGTCTGGCAGGGAAGGCCACAGCTGCCACAGTCATGTGTAGGCAGACGCAAGGGATAAAGAAGGCAGAGTGGGCAGTTTGCAGCTGCCAATTTTCACCAGTCCTTCAGAAATATACCTCATTTACCTCAGCGGACAGGCCAGGACACTGACCGACCCAGAAAGGTGGTCATATGCCTGAAGTATGGCTGCCTGGGATAAAATCAACTTTAGAGTTGTTTTCTAAGTTCCAGACAAACATTTCAAATTCACACTCAATGCCTCCCTTCGGTATTCCTTCCATAAGGTTAATTTTATTAATAAATTCTCCATAATAGAAATACTAGATAAGATGCCTTTCTTGAGATGGGTTTCTGGTTAACTTTAAAAAAAAAAAATTCTTGAAAATTCTGAAATAATCACAGTTGGCTCCCAATGACAAGAAGACTCCCCCGCCCACCCTCCTGGGCAGGAGAGGAGGAGAAAAAGATCCTACCTCCCCCAGCTGCAAAATCCCTCCTGGAGGAAGACGGGAGGATGGGAGCCAGGGCTTGAACGTGCAAAGTGCTGCCCTGCGCATGCCCCTGATACTCTAAACCGTGAACAGGTGGTTGCCACGACACTCCAGGCCGCCTGGAGCAAAGGCTGGGATCAGGGCCTCACACTCAAGGCGGCAGGACCAATCATAGCAGAAGCAGACAAGAGTACAACCCTACCCACAGCCCGAGCAGCTCCAGGGCGCACATCCACACCTGCCTCCCAGCATCCCCACGTTCCTCTCCTCAGCCAGGGATACTGGCAGCTTCGGATTCCAAAAGCCCTTTTCTCCTTCCTCGGGCTTCACCACAGCCCTACATCCTGAAGCTGGGCTTGCTGGGAAAACGCAGCTCCTGAGGAGATGTAGTTCCCCGCAGCACCAGAGGGGTCGCTCGCCTGCCCAGCCAGCTACAGAGTAATGAAATTAGTCCCTCAAGCTTCCACGTGAATAATTCTGGAAGCTAAGGTCAAAGGTCCCCAATTGTAAGCGGCCTGGAGAAGCAGCAAACAAAACTCCGGTGGACTCTCAACACAGCTCTGAGGTACAAGCCTGGAAGACGGAAGACAGGGGATTCCCCTGCTGTTTCCAGAACTTAGGGTGGGGGTGGGAGGGGACACTAACAAAGAACGGATTTTTAAGAAAGGCCTTCATCAGAAAAGCTTTTCCCTAGCACTAAAACATATAAACATGTACTTGGTAAGCTGTCTGCTTTTGAGGAAGGAATGCTACTCGCAGGTTCAAAAGTTTATACAGCAAATACCTAACAAATTTGTTTCTCCTTTCTTCCATGAGTTCCACTAATAATGATCAAATCCGCGTACAGCACTAAGAGAAATCTGGGTGATTTGGGGCTAAATGTGGCCAGTCAAAGAAAAAGAAACAACCACAACAAAGTGAAAGCCGCTCTGTCCCCTGCACAGTACCAGTCATGATTGTTTTGGTTGTGAACCCAGGGACAGTGTAAGCGAACTGTATCCTCGAGTGCCTTATTAACACCTGTCCTTCTCTCGTGGAATTGGAACAAAACAGTGAGCTGACCAGGCGACCCTCTAGAGGAGCAGCATTGTAAGAGGAAAGCACACAGGCTGGGGCATGCTCCCTCCCTCCTGCCCAACATAATCAGCTTACATTTCAGCTCCTATTTCCACAGCCTTAAGGTAGAATGCAGCTGAAATTCTACACACAACCGCCGGTCCCACTCAACGCCACTCCCACAAAACTCTTTCTCAAAGATTACTTCTGGTAAACTATGAATAAGGCAAAATGTATCAGGCATATGAATACACAAAAGCCTACAACAACCCCTGAAACCCAGGACTGGTTTTTTTCCAAGAAGGAGCCATGACTAAACTCCACTTAAGTTGCCAAGGTACATTACCATCTTCCCCCAGTTGAAGACTGGGAGCCATCTGTTAGAGTATTCCCCACTTCAAAGTATTCTAAGAATCTCTTTTTCTCCTTCACATAATTGTTGTTAAACGTAATCACATCAAATGCTCCACTTATAAAACTCAAATATCTCCTGGTAGGAGTCAGTAAGGCAAACGGAGTTAAAAGTTTCATTTACGAAAGTGGAGAGACATCGTGTGACCTGTTGGGGAGGGCTTCTCTCAGTTCACTTTAATAGTGTCTCTGGGACGTGGTGGGAAGTTAAGAAATGAGATTTCAACATCCCCGGAGAACTTTTAGAGGTACCTGAGTTGCATCTACAAAGTGTTTACAAAGAACAGTGTTCAACAGCTGCCCAGATAAGCTACCAGGAGATCACATCAGCAATTAGTATCAGATGCACATACCAAAGTGAAAGTTTGGGGCCCCAAGATGATTTCATATGTTAGATTTTTCAAAAGCTCAGAAACAAACACAAATAATCAAAACTCCCTTCTCTGTGTCCACTGTCGGGAGCAGCGAGGAGCCAGAGTCAGTGACTGGGGTTTTGTTCCCTTCTGGAGAGCCATGTATACTCACTCCTCTTGTAGCTAGCTTGATTACAGACCCACTGGCATGGGCTTCCTTTTTAGAATGTGAATGTACTCTGAAGGCTTCAGTATATTCAAATTAGCAAGCGTAAGAGAACAAGTTCTCCCAATGAACTAAGAAAATATTAGACATGTATTTATCTTAACACATCAGGATTCTAATTTGATTATCAAAACAGTTGTGAGTCTTTCCCTGAGTTCAGTTTATCCCAGAACCCATTCGAGATGGCTATGGGGTCACTCTCCTGGAACTAAAGCTGTCCTCTCCAGTGACCCAACTCACACCCCTGACACCAGGGCAGCTCAACTCCATCTCCAATTTTGCTGGGGGGGGGGCGGCTTAGAAGTCACGCACAATAGTGTGGTATATTTAATTCTAGCCGGTCTGGGTAAATAAAAATAACACAGCTACTCTGACGAAACAATTAAAGAATGCAAGAGAAAATGAAGGAGTGATAAAAATGGGCTCTTGTGTACAGGGCAGTAGCGAGTATCATATCAAATAGCAGGCATGCCTAGTTCCTTAAAGTAACACATTCCTAAACCGAAATACTTCAATCATATTAATAGGGAGGTTTAAAACGTAATCTGTAAAGATCCTGCTCGGGGAGCTATCCTCTCTGCTTCTACGCCGCCGGTCAACACACATCAATTTTTAAATTATATTAAACCAACATTCAAGACTTAATGGTAGGTTCATCGGGACGTGACTTTCTGCTGTACCTTTAATTAAGACGCCGTCTAAAGTTCTTCCGAGACTTGCTGGTGAAGTGGGCACCGCGAGTGGACCAGAGAAGTACAAGCCCTCGGTCCTTTGTTACTCAATGGACACCCTGGAAGGCCCGCCCCAGCCCAAGGGCACATCTGGGCTTCTAGAAACAACCCAACGTCCACTCGGACCTCCTCTCCACCCA